ATCATAGTCATATAAAACCCCAACTATTATATACCATTCGATAGAGAATTTCACGAGCTACAAAATGGTATATAAAACATAAAGAAACAAGAAAGCTAACTCGCCTATTGTAAAGATAATTAATCGGAATTCGGTTCTGTTTTTGTCCACGCTCTATGTGATCCACAATTAGAGCTCTATCTTCCCATCACAGAGATGATAGTTCGAGGTTTTCTAGAATGGAGAACTCGAATCTATGTTCCATTCGCCTCGAAATCCCATTGGTTGAGCAGTGGACCAATAGAAATCAAGTTATAGGAAAAACGAGTTTCTTAGGGTAAATCAAGGTGAAGAGTTCAAATCTGAGCTGTATTTGCCTCCAAATCGTATTGGCTGAGCAGTAGCCAATAGAAATTAAGTATTTACAGGAAGGGTTTGCCAGGACAATTTTGATGTCCACACATTCTAGGGTGACTCATCTGTCTCATTCACTTTTTGAAGTACACATAACTCTCGGATTTAAATCCGAGGTTTCCGCATTTATTTATAATTTGACTTCGAACATTTTAATAAAAACAGGACCCTCAATAACTTCACTGATAATACTCCATAGCAATTCAGTCAACTGAGTTGCACTGTTTTAACGTATGCTAATTAGAGAATTTTTTTTCAAAATTACGTAATATACCATCTATTATATCAAGTTATGCAACGAATAAATTTTGAGAAATCGTCAACTCAAGAGTGTCTGAAATTTTTATCCCAAATCACGGCTACATCTGAAACTACAATGGTTATGATCTACACCTCAGTTCATGAAACCACTAACAACCGCTATGCATGAAACTGCGGTTATCAACATGTACACCGCGATTTTTGAAACCGCTAGTAACCGATGTATATGATACCGCGGTTATTAACACCTACACCGCGATTGCTGAAACCGCTGGTAACCGATGTAAGTAAAAACCGGCACAAACAGCGGTCACTAAAATTACACCGCGGCGTGTCATATAGAAACCGCGGTTAGCAGCGGTTTTACTGAAAATTTTTTTTCGTGGGCAACAAGCCCTTGAATTGTATGGCTAAGTACTATTCGATTGGCTTGTGGAACAGTATTTGCGAAAATAGAAGGATTTCTTCGCTACCTATATAAGCGATTTTTTCGCCTCAAAAGATAGAGCTTGAAATTCTCTACAAACCTAGATAGGTGCCGAAGAGAGACCGATAAAGCCTAAGGACCAACAAGCCCTTGAATTGTATGGCCAAGCACCATGGGATTGGCTTGTGGAACAGTATTTGCGAAAAAAGATGGATTTCTTCGCTACCTATATAAGCGATTTTTTTGCCTCAAAAGATAGAGCTTGAAATTCTCTACAAACCTTGATAGGTGC